TTTTGGTCAGCAGGTTCACTTGAGTATTACGACCAGGTGCTGAAACAAAAGACACCTTCAGCTTAAAGCCCCCCATGTCGATTTACTTCTGAGGTAAATAAATAAAGAGACACGAGTGTGCGCTCTTCATACGATAGTAGCAGAGAAAGACTGGAGTGCTCTGGTTCCACAAGTTTACATATTTACAGATAAGCACCGTGGCAAAACTGGGCATGTGTTTGGCCTGGCATGTGCAACCAGAAACAGAGGAAGACAGCAAACCAAGAGGGAACTGGAAGGAAAGAGAGAGAGAGCAGAAGTTGGCTTTGTCTTGCAAAAAAACAGATGCAGTAGCTGCAGTACCAAAAACATTTCCAAGACTGGAGGTCTAATCGCGTTGACCCCTCTTCTCTCTCACTCTTTATGCCCCTGAGCAGTTGTTTTCTGCAGCAGTTGCTCTGTTGTGGTAGATTGCAGTGTTGTCTATTTGCCAGATTCACTCTCTAACTGTCAGAAAATCAACATTTTACACATTACATAGAAAAAGTGGCAGGTGTTATATTAGTGTGCATTAACACTCCAAGACTTAATGCACAGATATATTTGACATGCAGGAACAGGATCAGATTTTTTTTTGTCCCATACATTGCCATCAATCGCCTAGTTTATGGCTTCAATCCCACATTTAAATATGGTTGCCAATCCAGAAACTATGCAGTGTGTGTCTAGTGAATTTTTTTTTTTTTATTCAAATTGTGAATGGGTTGTAAACAGAAAGAAAGTAAAGAGCGCTCCCTTGAAGCTGTCAATAAGTTCACTGAGCTCCTGCAAAAACACCCGTTATAATCAATAAAGTTGTCTATGGTGTCCAATAAATCTCTAATTTACATTGTGTTTACAATTTGTTGGTTAAACACTCTTAAAAGCAAAAGTACTTTACTGGCATCTATGGTTTCATAAAGAACCTTTAACATCCATTGAGCTGACCGGATTGGTCATTTTGCTCACATGCGCTCTGAACTATGATCAGCTACAATGCTCAATGCTACAAAAATAAAATTAAAAATTAAATAGAAACCTTTGGTGGTCTTCACAGAGCACTCAAACAAATATGCACGGGAGCGTTAAAAAAGCATCCGACCTACCAGCCAGTCATAGTCACGTGACAAAAAAGGGAAGTGAAATTGTCTTTATAAGTGAAACTTTTAACATTATCGCATAATACACAATATTCCCTAAACGTATATTGTCAGCAAAGATATCACACTAGGGCCAGATTTACTAAACAGGGCAAATTAGCGTGAGAGCGCAATTCCAAAAAAACACCAATAGAAGTGGAAGTTCTACGTGTGATCTACAGTACTGACCAGGTGCAAATTAAAGAACACAGGATCATTTCCATAATGACCAACACATTCTACCAAGAGCAGCGCAAATTAGTGTCTGCTTTGAGACATGCTTTTTTTGGGCGTTAAATAATGGCGCAATTACTAATAAATTGACTAGCTCAAACATTAGTAAATCACCTTGGATGATTAATTTAAATACTCTCCTCATAAATTTTGCGTCTGAAAGGGAAACTCCTATAAATGCATATGCAATAAAGTCAGCTGCAAAAAAAAAAAAAACCTTTCCACACCTCTTTCAGAGCTATTTTTCACTGTGTGTCTTTAGTAAATCCTGACAGTAGTTGTTTTTTTTTAACACCAAAAGAGGGTTTGCGTTGGTGGAAACTGTAAGTAGATCTGGCCCTTAATGTATCGCCCAGGCAATACTAACAGCTAATGTATAGCTTAACGAAGAGATATAGACCTCCGTGATTGTGGCAGTTTTACAAAACAATATGTGCTGAAATGTGTTGTTCAAACTCTTTAAACGATCAGAGACTCCTGTTAAAAAAATTTCAGACATTTAATTTGACACAAAGTCTCAGACAGAGGCTATGTTCACACTGTGAGTTTTGGGGATTGACAAACGCATTTACTTACAGGTGTGAGTCTTGAAATGTCCCGTTCAAACAGCAACTTACAATAGCGTCTCGAAAACTGTCTGTATGAACATGCAACGGGAGTCAAGCCTGTATTCCTTTACCAGTACCCATAGCAACAGTGACCAAAGTAATATCAAAGATGGCAATGTCCATAAAACTGAAAAGTGTTTTAATACGACAAGAGTCCAATTGAGCCGTCAAATCTTCATTAACCGACAGCAGCTTTTATATCTGGGTGGAGAGCGGAGCATTTGAGTCACGCATAGAACACAAAACTGATGGGAACAGTGACTGGATCTAAAACCTTCAGATGACACACAGCTCATGTATCCGTTGCTTTAAGTTCCCAAAACCATCACATGAAAACCCACAACACACAGTAGACACGGGTTTGTATCTCGCACTGTATGACAGACAGACAACTAGTTGTCCAGTCCGGTTACGTTCACACAGCTGAGAATGCAGTTGTAAGTCCTGAAAATGTACGGGTGTGAGTTTGGTAATAGACTGCGGTTGTCACTCCCGTAAATAATTGAATTGTGTGTGAATGTAACCGTATTAAAGGAATAGTTCACTTATAAATTAAAATTCTGTCATCATTTATTTACTGTACCATCAAACCTGAATGCATTTCTTTCTTCAACTGAACACAAAAGAAGATATTTTGATGAATGTCGGTAACCAAACAGTTGATGTACCCCATTGACTTTTAATGGGGTACATCAACTTTTTGTGGTTACCGACATTCTTCAAAATATCTTCCTTTGTGTTCAGCAGAAGAAAGAAATTCATACAGGTTTGAAACAACTTGAAGGTGAGTAAATGATGACAGAATTTTCATTTTGTAGGTGAACTATTCCTTTAAGGACTCAAATACAGAGCTAACAACCGTATTGTGCTGCTGTGTGAACGTGGCCAGTATGTGTTTGAGTTTCAAATCTTTTAAGTGCACTGCCATAACAGCTGGTCTTACTGTCTGAGAGATGTGATCAATGCTACAGGCGTCAGACATTTTAAAGTCAGACCTGTGGCCTTTGGAGAAATGCAGAATGATGGATGAGCAGCATTCTTCATATCTCGTCTCCCCTCCTAAACACTTTTGCTCTCATTGACCTTGTCTCTTTCTACCCTGGAATGTTTTTCAGCTGCTGATAAAGGGACATCCTCTCCTCTTCCTGTACCCTGTTTTTTTGATGTGTGGCACCCTGAAGCGCTAACCGCAGATTAGGGGAAATTGGTGCGGGAGAGAAAGATGGCTGCTGGAGGGCCCAGCGGGGTGATTTTAGTGACGAGTGAAGATTGGGTTTCAAAGTGGTTGAGAAATGCTACAGAGACGAGGTCTACGCTGAACACCGGGAAAAAGAGCCGTGGGTCATGTGTTATGGCTCTGAGCAGAAAAGAGAGGCCATTTTACCGATGATGGAATGGTAGGTACCACCTCAGCACCTGCATTTGAGACAGTCAGAGAAGGTCATACAATCTCTCTGTACCCCTGGGTGGTCTCTGTGGTCATTTCAACACCTGAGTATACGGATGACATAATGTGACTGTTTGTGAGGTCTAGAAGGCTCCTTTTAGCATTTGTTTTGGACCTAAAATTCTTTTCCATGCAACTACTAACACTAACATTACTAATCTTAACACATGCTGGATATAAATAGGTAACAAGGAGCTCCATAACCATTCCCATTCCCATTCATCTCAATAGCAGTTGCTCGGCTGCTGCAGGATTGCAGATTGCATTGTTCCAGATGTACAAAACCGGTGAAAAGTTTGGGGTCGGTTTTTTTTATGTTTTTGAAAGTCTCTTATGCTCACCAAGGCTTCATTTATTTGATCAAAAAACAGGAAACCAGTTATATTGTGAAATAGAATTACAATTTAAAATAATTATTTTAAAATGTAATTTATTCCTGTGATGCAAAGCTGAATTTTCAGCATCATTACTCCAGTCTTCAGTGTCACATGATTCTTCAGAAATCCTTCAAATATGCTTATTTGATGCTTGTTAAGATTATGTTTGAGTATTCATGATCTGTGTCTTGTTTTCAGATTCTGATTGGCTGCAGAACTTGTCAGTCATCTGGGATTCGTTCGTGTCCATGACGCTCCGCCGGAAGCTGGCTATAAAAGGCGACGCCAGCTGTCTTCAACGAGGGGCTTTTGGTTGGGCTGTGGCTGTATGTGCGCGCGCGCCTCGTAGAGTTTTTATGTAGCCCACGTTGGACCTGTGTCCCTCATTTGCGGTCAATTTGTTTCTTTATTTTGTTCTTTAACTTTTGTGGTCAGTTTACTGATCGGTTTTGAGCGTGTGTTCGCGTGCTCATTCTCGAAGAGGTCACGTGACATACATCATGCCACACGTAGTGTTTGTTATGTATTAGTCCATTAGTTTAGGGAGTGTTGCCTTGAGTTGTAATTTTTGTTTGTTAGTTAGCGAAGGTAAGATAAGGTGTGCGTTAGCACGCCAAAGATATTTCTTTTTGATTTTTCTTTGATTTAGCTAGGTTAGATTTCATGGTAATAGTTAGAGGTGTTTTGTTTTATTTAGTTTTTTTGATTTGGGCAACACTCATGCTCTTCATTTTATTTGGTCAATTTCATTGTATTTTTCTTTATTTTTGTTTGACTATTTATATTTGGAATCATTTCAAGTTTATTTTCCCATTGTGTTTAGGGGCTGGGAATATGAATAAATTTATGTTCGTACTCTGAATTCCTCTGCTTTATTATTATTATTATTACCAATGTTTGCATGGTATTTATCAAAGATATTCAGTGACAAAATAAATGTTACTCCCTTAATGTCCTTAGACAAAATTAAGAAAACATAGTGCCAGCATTCATTCTAAAACTGGGATAGCTAACAGTAGGCCCATTTGTTATCCTTTTCTCCCAACCAGAATGATTAACTATGCGCCTAACAGACAAACAGCTTCACGAGAAAGACCTTGCCAGATAGACCAGCACTGAACTAGCACAAACCAGCCATGGAAGCCCTGATGAAGGTGAGCTTTTGTTGTTAACTCACGGGGAGATGTCACAGACTCTCCGGAACCTTCACAACCGTCCTCATCATCACATTCGCCACTGCTCTCCCCACTGGCCGTGTCGTCCCAGGATTCCCTGTGCCCCACACCTGGCATGACCTCTTGGATCTCCTACAAGGAAAAAGAAAAACATACCACATCAGTATTTATCAGTATAAAAAAATATGTGCATTACATAAAGAACAAGGTCCGATGCATCCAATTCTGAACAAATTACAATAACGTGTGGGAACAAACAGGTTTTGCGAGTAGATGCCCAAAACAAACATGGTAATGCTATGGTACTTTCTGTCCCAAGTGCAGTTTTGATGACAGAAATTGAAATATGTTGAGCTCAATTAAATGGATATTGCTTTGAATTGTTGCTTCACTTCTTAATTCTCTACGAAACCGCTGGTAGTACTAACTCGACAGCAAAGCTAGTGTATAAGCTAGGTTAACCACTTAAAAACGATGTTAAAAATATAGCTAGGTTAACCGACAGGTCTGGCCCAGGCACATCTGCGAACACAGGGTGTTTGGCATTTCTAAATCAAGCCCTGGACACCTCAAGCACTGGTTTAGGGCCAGAGATGCTCCATGGGACGGGTGAAACTGGTTTACTATAGCACAAGCAAAGATATATTTAACCTACACACACAAACTGTACATACAGTGGAGTCCAAAAGTCTGGGATTTGTCATTTCAACCTGGAAATAAACAATTTTTCACTCAACTTTTCATTCGAATTATATATTCAAAAATACATCATAGAGGCAATTTCGCAAGTGGTCTCAGACTTTTGGACCCCACTATAGGCCTACATCCAGTCAAATCCATTTCACTGCCATATTAATCTTTCCACTGACATTTCACTTTAGATTTTCCTTCTCGTTCAGTATAAGATTCTGACTATAGTAAAGTAAAGCATTTGATTTTAATCTTACACTACCTGCTGAGGACTAAATGTCACAACATACATGCTATATAAAATTCAATGAAAGTCACTTTGCACAGAATTGCCCAATGGGGAAATAAATGTCAATGTAAAGGTCAAACTCACATGACCCTTTAACTTTTGAGTCAGCATTATCAGAAGTGGGCAGGCTGCACACGCTCACAGCGACCTTTCACCCCCTGCCCAGGGCTTACGAGTCAGCTAGAGACGTGAAGCTATAGATAAATATAGCAGGTTGGCCAGGAGTTAGACAGACAGATAAATATATAGATGATATTAATGGACAGAAATGACAACGGCTCCACACACATGGCTCAACCCTTACTGCTGGGATTTCTAACTTTGTCCTGACAAAGCACATGGATGCCTTTCAGTCATGTGCAGATTGACGCAAACACAGAAGATGATGCGTAACCTCAAATGGTGCTCTGGAGAAAGTTTCAAACACTGCAAATGCGCCAACATGCACACATCAAACCGTTTCTGTTTTTTTTTTAATTAATTACCTCATATTGAAGCGCTGATGTAATAATATGCAAAATTATTAATATGACATAGGCTATAGGAAATAATTTGGTTACACTTTAGATTAGGGTCCAATTCTCACTATTAACGAACTATTAACTACGGCTTTTGCCATAAACTCCTAATTACTGCTTATTAATAGTAAGGTAGTTGTTACATTTATGTATTGGGTAGGATTAGGGATGTAGAGTATGGTCATGCAGAATAAGGCATTAATATGTGCTTTATAAGTACTTGTAAACAGACAATATCCTAGTAATGTGTGTGCTAATAAGCAACTAGTTAATAGTGAGAATTGGACCCTAAACTAAAGTGTTACCAAGAATGTTATATGAGACACAGTTATATGTGTACAACCTTTGAAATCAACAACAAAATATACAGGATTTTTTTTTTATTTTTTTTTTTATCTATAAGTTTGTTATTTTATACTCACCAAGTATGATTATATGGTTACTGGGAGTCATTTGCATTTACCAACCATTTTTTTTCCACTGCTGTCCGTGCCATTATTAGAAAAGCCATGTGACCCTTTTGTGGGTCATGACCCACCAGTTGAGAACCACCAATCTAGAGACTGAGCGTACAACCAGCAGGTAAAATCCTTCTCACAATGGTTTCTCTGAAACTCCCGGTCATGATGGCAAATGCTTTTCAGCATCCTGATGCCAAACCTATTCCTGTCTGCTAATCTATTTTATTGGTAGGTACATAGTACTCCTGCATTGAGAACATGCCCTGCCGCACTATCAATAGACAAACACACACTCGCTCAGCTCGGTACAGACACACACCTCCTCACCCCTAGCATAATGAAATATATAATGGAAACATATCATGGAAAACAGGATTTTCTCTGCTCTATGGAAATGATAGAGTTGGATGTAGACATACTCTAATACACTGTTTTCCAGCCTACCCGATTTTAGGGGAACTAATTATGATTTCACACAATCAAGAAGTGTGCGACACAGAACTATAGGCAATAACACAGTGTTTCCTAGCTGAGTGACAGAACAACTTTTGTTAACCAAAAAGTGAAGAATGAGTGGCTGTTCACAGAAGATGCATGTCGTGCTTCTTTTTCTTTTAGAGAATCCTGAACAGAAAGTCCCCAAACAAATCTTAAGTTAGCTATTCTCAATACAAAAAAATACAAAAAAAACAACAACTATTTATCAGACTAACCCATGGCTAATTACCAAAGAAAATGCTGTTTCTCAAACAACTAAGAATTGATTCTTAGTAGGCACAGAACAAATTTAAAGTGCACAATGATATTTTAATTGAAATCATTATAAATCACCCCTGATATAACACTACCGTATTTGCTGTAGAAATGCAGATACAGGGTTCCTAGTAAATATGAAAAGGTATGTAATTCAATGTTTTAATAATAAACAAACTATTCAGAGATGCAAAGTACTCAATTCTATCTAATTCAACTTTATTTACACCTATATTCATGTAAAAAGCAAAACTTTGCCTTTTCTACTCAAGTTTGCTTGATTCAATCATTCAGAACTAAGCTATAAGCAACCATATGACCGCCCATATTACTCTTCAAATAACATGAACAAGTATGTGCTTGCCAATCATAACAGAGGTCATTTACATAGAGACGTTATAAAGACAAAAGAGGGTAGAAAATTGTCATTCAAAACTAAAATCAAGTCTGTTTTGGGCAAGAAAACTTACAGCCTGAATAGAAGTTACCTTTAAAATGTTACTCTGACACAGTATAAACCACATAAATGGAATTTTACAGGAATCAAACATGTAAAAATGTTCAAAATGAATAACTAATCAAGCTTATATAAACATATTTCCTCGTTTGCACTTTCTGTACTCCATTGGGTCCAATAAAAGTCAACCACTGCTTATAAACAAGTCTCAGAAATGAGTATTTTTTTATCAAAGCCCTTATAGACCAATTAACCTTGCAATCATGCAAAGTAGCCAAATTAATAATTGAATTACATATGCGTGCGGTAATGGACTGGCTGGCAGTGTCGTGACTGAGTCAGCAAACCTGTGGAGATCTCAACCAATACGGACAGTCTCTAAAATGCATTAAATAGAAACCGCTCTGGACTCAGTTCCCGCTAAAGCTCTCTAATTAGACACAGTGTAAAGAATTAATTAAAGAATGAAAGACTGCAGTGACCATGGTAACAGCTTATTATCTGGCTGAAGGCCAAGTTATCTTGGCCTCTATTTACTTATAATTATGTGAATGACGAAGCGACACATTATTGAAGCTATAACTGCCAAGGTTGACACGTTAGATTGAGATTAATTAAAAATATTCCAACTTTGTTTTCAGAAATTGAAAGACGAGTCAAAATGATTTTTTTTTTTTATGGCAATCAACACTTAACTTTCTGAACCTGGAATATTCAAGATCAAGGTGATGGAGTTGATTCCTAGGGAACATTTGGAATTTAGATAACAGTTTCGGCCAACAAAGTTAATTGAAATTGTGCTGGTTATAGAGTAGGAGATCTAAATTATTACAGAACTAAAGATCAACCAACTTAGGTGCTCTTAGATTTACTGCCCTATTTGAGTATGGCCACCCTGTTGAGTACAGAGCTGTGCAAACTGAGAAAGTCACATCTCACTGTCTGTATACTCAATACAGCAGATATCATAATGGGAGTTCAATGTGAAACTAAAATCATCGCCTGTGTGTGTCCCTCTCTTCCTGTTCGCAAACGATGAGAGCCAGATTTCACATCCTAAGAGAGCAACAATCACAGCTAGCCCTGCCATCTGCTCCAAGACGTTTCCAAAGTGAGATCGGACAGCCTCCAGGTTAAATATTGCAACGGGAACATTCCTGCAAAAGTCACTATTGATACAAGCATGTGAACATCTACATAAACATCTACATAAAACACTGCAAAGAATTATTTTCTTAAAACGTATGAGTGTTGTCTAATGAAAAGATCTAAGCATCTTTAAATTAATTTTATTTACGCCTAAAACTAAAAATCGTTATGCTTAAATCACGAAATCAAAACGTATTCAAAATATATAGTGCACTACCCTTCAAAGGTCAAGGGTTGGGGTTTTTTAACGGAGCCCCTAAAAGGACAAAAAACTGAGATGGGAGGAAAACTATTAAGTCTTATACTAAATGCTTTTGAGTTTCCCCGCAACTGTTTTGCGTTCCCCCAAGAAACTTTGCCTTCGCTCGCAAAATGTTTGCGTTCTCCCGAGAGAATTTGCGTCCGCTTGCAAAACCTTTTGAGCTCTTTGTGTGAGTGAACGCAAAGTTTCTATAGGGGGAACGCAAAGGTTTTCATTTATTATCCTTTACATTATCCTTCAGAAATATGCTTATTTGCTGCTCTAAAAACATTTCTTATTATTATCAATTTTTGAAACGGTTGTGCTGCTTAATATTTTTGTGGGAGCCTTAATTTTTTTTCAGGATTTTTTATGAGCTGAAAGTTAAAAAGAACAGCATTTATTTCAAATAGACATCTTTTGTAACAATGTAAAAGTCGTTACTGTCACTTTTGATCAATTTAATGCATCCTTACTGAATAAAAGTATAAATGTATTTCATAGAAAATTTAGCTTCTCATGTAAATTTATCTTGCGGTAGATGTTTAGATATTTCGAAATAATGAGAAAAACG